TTGATGAGTTAACAGAATTATAACATGGCTTAAAGCTCTCAAGAGTCAATTTTGTGTAATATAGTGCTAACACTGTAGTCTGAATCTCTACAAACATGTGATCTGGATGTGTTTAAAATGTGAATTTTGAACAGAATCCTATAATTAAAACATAACACATAACTCTAATCTCAATTGCAGCGCCTGAAAAAGCACAACTACATATTTTTCCCAAATGGTTCAGACTTAATGCAGAGTTGCACTATGGAGAAGATGTTAATTGCTGCTGTAGTAAAAGAGGATTGGAGGTTGAACATGATGTGCCCGCAGTCTGTTGTTATGAATGGTAATGAGTCCAGAATGGCCCTGTATAGGTGGCCGCGTGCCAACTGAGAGTGGCTTTAAATGGGATTGTTAACCCTGAAAGGTTGTAACCCAAGGCCGTTTTATGACCAACTACAGCCAACTGGACAGATGTTTATGTGTGTTAGGAGTATGATATGAGGGGATTGGCTGGATAATAATAAATAAATGATGACAGATAAAGTATTTCGAAAACAGTCAACAAGTTATGATGACAGTTATGGACAGTGTCTGACACATACAGTTAAGTTTAGTAGTTTAGAGTCCACACAATGAGAGATAGAGTTTTAGTGTTAATCTTACTTTTCCCCCTCCAAAAATACACATTTATACATGTGTTTAAAATGTATAAGCAGATTTTTTTTTTTTTTTTTTTTTTTAACATGTTTTTACTTTGGTATCATCTGTGGAATAACATATTCCTTATTTCTTGTTCAGTGTAGCAAGTATTATCAGTGTTTTCCATTCATACAGGAGACTGTGGTGGCACCCTATAGTCTAAAATTGTCCCCCATAGATTAAAATAAACTGGATTATATATTGCTGTAACAAAATTAGACTTTGTTGCTCATTATATTATGACACACTTATAAAAATAGACTACACTAGTACACACAAAATGACTGCTTCAAGATTAAATATTGGCATGAGGTGACATTTATACTCTACAAATTAAATGCAATGATAAAATCTAATTAAAAATAAATTAATTTGTGCCACTATAGCCTTGATCAAATCTATGGGAAACACTGATTAATAATAATAATAATGGTTTAGATAACTGGAACTTAAGAACTTACTACAATCTGAAATTTACTCTAGAAATAGGCATAGTCAAGTTAAGTATAGCATTTCATGACATAATTTGCTACATATTTAACATTTGTATTGTCATCACAGTGAATAGGAAACAATAAGGCTTTTACAGTCATTGAGGTCATAGTCAGTCACTGTGAGACTTGTAATGGCAAAACACTCACAGACGACAATAGACAAAGCCTTACATTGAATGAGGTGGATGTGACTAAACTAAAATGACTCAATATACCATTACCCATGACTTCATCCACACATGTTACCAGTAAGCCCTTAATGTACTTCAAAATCTACCTAAGCAAGCACAAATCTTCATTAAAATTGTCTTATTAGTGATATTTCATTAAGTGTCAGCAGTATGCCATATTTCCTTTTGTTCTCCATACTCTGCACTGTTTTTGCAATCTCATCAAAGTACACACAGTACTACAGAGAGGCTACTGAGAGGAAGTCAAAATAATTACATCATCTAATCCTCAGTGTCCGCCATAGAGACTGATGGATGCAATGAAAGGGCCACTTAAAGAAGCAAGCACTCTGACAAATCTTTATCCTTACATACACGCAGTGTGAAAGTGAAAAAGGGCACATGACCGGTTCTCATGTTTTTATAATTATTACTTGGTTTGACCTGAGGCAAATATTGTTCATAGTTTCACATCAGTTAAGTGGCAGTAAGTGGCAAATAGTTGAAAAGAAAAGTACAAATATATTGTAAAAAATACTGCTAATTACCTCTGAAATATCCAAAATGTAATGACAATTTACAGGCAAGGTGTTATCATTTATTTTGATCAGTATAATCATACAAATAGGAAGTGTTCATGGGGGCACTTCCAGCTCTATCAACTCTGTTTCCAATTGACTTTACAATAAAAAAGTGTCACCCCTCTCTCTATAACTGCTGCAGTGAGCCTTGTCATTTTGGTATTAAAATGTTTGTATTAACCCGCTGTTCATGATCATGATAAATGATAAATTCCTATTCCTAATATGGAACATTGCCTTAAATATTGCCAGCTTCGGTGAGCTTCATTTGACTGAACACTATTGGTGACGTCACACTCCCTTAGTCCACTTCTTTATACAGTCTATGGTTATTACCTGCGTCATATCTGCTGCCCATGTTCAACCAGGAAGTAAATTTTTTGTCAGACCTGGTGTTTTAGTGAAATTAGTAGTCTAACCTCTCGTGCACTTCATGGAATCATATGAAAATGTGAATCATGTTATGACGAAGGGACAGCAATAAAGTATATTTTGTAATAGTCTTTTGAGACACAAATAGAAAAGCTAAGAATAGCCAGACAAAAGCTGTACTCGAGATCAAAGCTACCTTGATGAGACATCTTGTGGATTTAAGCTCACAGTGAGATAAGGATAACGTCAATATGATTTATATAAAAAACTTCAAAGTACCGTGTCTCTTCAAGGTTCATTGGATAAATATTCAGGAAACTAAAATGCTAAAGGCCATTCGACTAATAAACTAAAAAAATAAATAAAATCAACATCTGTTTTATTCTCGTTGGGAACAACAGACTTTCTTTTTGCTATGAGTAAACTTTCAATACACCACAAAATACTCAACAACCCACAGCAAACAGCTACTGCACAATATAATCCAAAGAAAAATTAAAGCAATAACACCAAGGTTCTGCATCTGACACAAATGTACTGTTTTTTAAATGAAAACATTACAATGAGGATTTTATTAATGATTTTCCATCTAAATTAGTCCTATTTTTTCCTTGATAGTTAGTAAATTCAGCCATGTACATTTAAGTTTTAATGTAACTGAAATTATTGTGTCAAAATGCACTGTAGATTATAAAATGACAATAATATCAATGTCACAGCAACTCATAGCCAAATCAAAATCACATCTTGCAGCTCTACGAATAACATCACTGAGTTAATGTAGTCATGGTGGAACAAGCAATTCAGAAGTTACATTTGATCCGGCAAAATCCAACTAACACCAATGAAACCGTATCAGAAATGACTACTGGTGTGATTAGAGCCTTCATCTGCAAAGCCTGTACAGATAATTTGCTAATTTAAAGTTACGGGCTAACACTGGGAGGCAAATGGGGCTTTCGTGTCCTGTTGACCTGCATATCTGATCTCACAGTGGCGAGTGCAGCAGCCAGAGGGAAGCCAACCAGAGCTGTCACAGTGTTATAGAGACAGACCTATAAAATGCACTGGATGGAAGAATACAATATATCACAATCACATTAAAAAAATACTATTTAAGTTCAGACATTATTAAAATATTAGAATGTCCTTGGCAAAGAGCAGATTATCCTGTTTTTTATAGAAATGGCTTGCTGTACATGTAGTAGAGCTTTACAACTATGTACTGAAATTCATGTGATTTTTATATTATCGGTACATTATCAGTTCATGTTTCAGAATTCTCCCTAATATAAATGTTCCTTGAGTTGTTTACAATGTGAACACTGAACAGAATCCTACATTTTAAGCTTATATCACAATACTTAAACTTATTACAAATATTGCTATCAAGATATAACCCAATTTTGTCTTTGATGTGACAGTAGGCAAAAAATAGGGACCAGTCATTTACGTAACATTGAAATGCAATCCGTACATTAGCTTTGAATGTGTTCTAATGAAGTCTTGGGTTGCTCTTTGCTAGCATAAAAAAACAAAAACTTCCAAAAAACATTTTCAGAATGGCCATATTGGACTAAATACAAGACGACTGACAATACTAAACTAATAGCAGTGTTCTAAAATAGTCTAAAATAAAATCTAAACTATATATTGTCATAAAATTTGACTTTGTTGCTTGTTGTATATCATAAACTTGTAAAAGAGACTATACTAGTAAAAAAATAACTGCTTAAAAATAGTAAGTAACAGAAAGTAAAATTTATACTCCACAAATTGATTGAAATTAAATGATTTAAATAAAAATGATTTGTGTCACCATACTTTTAACAAACTGTATGGGAAACACTGTAATAGGTAATGAACACAAATGACTGAATGCATAGAGAGCTGTAGTAACTAAAGAAAGGTGAGTAGCTTGCAGATGACGTTTGGGATATCTTAAGTGGCCTTGCGTGTTGATAACATCTCAGGACACTCCTCTCAATAGGTTTGTACACACACACACTCTGCAGAATCAATACATTTAGTGTCCACTGCATGAAGCTATCTCCATGAACAATGAGCCTGTCACACAAATAGCCAATCAACACAACATTAACTCCACAGGCCTTTGTTTCATATGAACCACCTCGTACTGCTCACGTGTATAAGTAGTCTACAAACATTTCACTCAGCATGTTGTGTCCATAACATACCTGAGAAGAAGCATGGCATCTATTAGACTTAACACATTTTATTGTCCTGGTTGTGCACCCACTAGATGGCGCTCTGTCTGCTCTCTGTATTTTAATGGCATCTTCTTCGTAAAGTCTTTGAACCTTTAGCACGGTAAGCACATTAAAGCTGACAGAGGCCACAGGGCCGAGGCAGGCCTAAACTCCACTGTCTCTCCCAGAACAATCAGCCCGCGTAGCTTTTATTAGCCTCAGTGTAGTTCAGATACTGCGGTTATTTGTGTGCCATAGACACAAAACAAAGCAGTTGTATTTGGCCTGTAACAGGGCACAGACTGGTTCTCAGAGTGAGTTGCACAGATTTAAAAAGATGCTGCAGATAAAATACACACAGAACAAACCAATAGGGCACTGCGCTGTTTGTGAGAGCGGTGCTGCTCTGGACACGGGCACGGGGCAGAGGCTGCAGGCCGGTCCAGCACAGACCACAGACCCGCACACTGAAGGCTAATCAGCGGCACTTACATCAGAGGCAGTCCAGCGGAGTGATCATGCTCTGTGCGCAGCGGCACCGGAGCTCCTCATGGCAGCACGAGCCGAGGTGATGCTGTGTCCAGATGTGACACGTAGTGCTGCTCCAGTCTCGAGCTCCCGTAACGAGCGCTGTGTGCTCTGCCTCAAACACACACCAATGTCATCTCTGCGCTCATCAGCTCCGCTGGCGTCACGTCTGAGCGCGTGTCACTCTGAGCTGCGCTGCGCGTGTGTGAGAGACAGAGGGGGGTGGGAGTGGGCCACGGAGGGGGGCGCTATTGTCTCCATCTGGATGACATCATCCCAGACCGATGACGAGCCCGCGCTGCACGTGCGTGCTGCCTGCGCAAGAAAAACACGGATGAAGTGGTAGAACCAGTGACCTATGAAAACACGCAGGTAGCCGATTAAGGGGAACAGCTCTAGACTAGAGCTCTGCGAGGCTAAATTATGCAGTTGACAAATTGACCTTGAATTATTCAAATTATCCATGGCACCAGATTTGTTGTGACTGAATGCTGAGTGTTTTTCTTGTGCCAACATCACAGCGATGCTCCAAGAAGTCAATTTAGCCTGAATATAAAAAAACAAAAACAAATCTCCTCCCACTGACTGCTCTGTCAACAAACATCCACAAAATGAAATTACAATTCTGCAAAGTAGTTTTATCTGGTGAACAAAAACACAAAGTGAATTTAAAACTCTGTGATGTATATGATTTATTATTATATTATAACAGTGAAAGAGTATCCATGAGTGTGTGTGAAATAAAATGCCTCTACTGTAACCAGTGGAGTCAGTGTTTGAGTTGTGTGCGATATTTGGAAAACTTAATTCATGACACGAAGATTGGCGTGGCTGTCATGCTGACCAGAAAATCTCTTCCTCTTTGTGTGAAATGATGAGTTGAAAGGCAGCCAACATTCTCAGACTAATTTTAGCTTTAAGATGATTTCTCTGTCAAGGCTGCTGAGAAAAGCACTAATCTGGGACCTTTTGCTGCCTGTACAGTAAATCATGTTATAATGCAATAAAGCTGAAAGTTTTGTTTCTGACGTCCTACAGACTCTGGACATGACCTTTCTGCCCTCTTTGTGTGCAACAACAACAACTGTGGTCTTTCACAACAGTCCATTCACATCAGTGTTTGTGAAGAAAGTAAATGTAATGTTTTGTATTCAACACGCACACTACAGAAACCACTTGAGATCTATAAACAATATCCACTGAACTGGAAGTAGCTTTAAACCAAGGACTATTATTATATTGCGGGGTTGGAACATAACACACTTATATGGAGTAATTATACTTTTGATTTTTGTTATATGTTTGTAATTGTACTGCAATCCTAAGTCACAATCTCTCTATACCATTGCTCTTTATTGACCATAGACTGTGTTAGTGTGACATCACCCATGCATTTGACTCCAGTCAAATGAAGCTGACTAAGACTGACAGTTATAGAGGCAAATTTGGTCCATATTAGGAATAGAAATTTATTTATGTACAAAATAGCAAAATAAAAACATCATAATTATGTCAAGCCAGTCAACAGAAACATTTTAAAACCCAAATGACAAGACTCACTGCAGTAGTAACAGAAAGAGGGGTGACGCTGTTTTCAATATTCACCTCCTATTTGAAAAGCTGCAGCTAGCAGGTTAGGTATGTATTTAGTATTTATATATGAAGTCTATGAAATCAACAAACAAACAACAGCACTAAAACGCCTGCTCTGGTCGTAGCTCAGAGATTATGCTTTATATGGATAAGTTTTAAACTGTTTAATTAATCAAGTTGTATAAAATACTGATCTACATTCCTAAAATTGTGTGAAAAAGTAACTAGCATGTAATAAGTTGTAAGTTTTTATCCATGTAACTACAAATTTTCAATACTCTTTTCACTGTTAACCTTTACCCAGATTTACTTGAAAATGCTACATGTTGTATTGATATACGTTTATTATACTTATTATACTTGGGCAAAAGAGTGCATACTTTACATTTTTAGTGATTCCTCTGGCCATCCAAACCAGATGGTCCCGACTGCAATTAATCATTGGATACAAACTGAAGAGGTCATGAGAAAACCCCCATAAAAGCCCATAGGATCTTACACACCTTCATCTGTGTGCTTCAGTTCAAAGTCTCCCAAAGCTTTAGTGGATAAATGGTAAATTCCCACTTCAGTGATTGTGAGATCCTCTGCTCCTGCTACACTTGATACTCTCTGTACCGCACTGTATTAATCTGATACTTGCACATCAAACTGATTAAATATGATACATGAGTTGCTGAGCATATCTCGCTGTTAAATAATTTTGAACAATATGGGGCGGTTCACATGAGGCACCGTAATTGTTGCTATCAAAATGTGCCAAAAGATTGCATCAGTGCTGAAATTATAATATTGAACACAAAACAAGCTTATAGGTGAATGCAGTCCCAAGAGTTTAGATGTAGTATTGCCAGGTTTCAGACAAGATTTTATAATAATAATATAATAATAATATTTAATACAAACTGGGGAGTAGTTAGAGGTCCTATATTACATAACACTGATTCTTGTGAGCTTTAAGGTCTTAGTCCTGGTCTCAGTCCTGGTCTGGTCCTGGTCTGGTCCTGGTCTCAGTCACGGTCTCAGTCCTAGTCCTGGTCCTGGTCTGGTCCCAGTCTCAGTCCTTGTCTGGTCCTGGTCTGGTCCTGGTCTGGTCCTGGTCTCAGTCCCAGTCTCAGACCTGGTCCTGGTCCCGGTCTGGTCCTGATCTCATTCCTGGTCTGGTCCTGATCTTAGTCCCGGTCTCAGTCCTGGTCTGTTAAGTTGTGTTATAATGGTGTTATAAAACATGTTAAAAACATACCCGGAGTTGTGTTTTTGTTTCATTTGCACATTTTTGAGTAATCCTTTATTAATAGTCTGGCTACATCTGCAAAGCTCAAAACGCTCTTTTCCACCTTGTGATGTCATGAAGTAGTAGTTTTCAAGTTAACAGCTACATTTTGCCTTTAGTTCAGTAGAGATGGGCAATTCCAGGGCTGAAATTATCCAAATGGCTCTAGTTAAGGTGTATGAAGTTTAAAAACACTGAAGAGCACTTCCTGTATTACCATATGACATCACAAGGTGGAGTGTTTTCAGTTTGAGAGAAGAGCTCAGCCTAAATATGCAGTGTTTATGTGTTAAACGTGTGAATGAAACAAAACACAAGTCCAGGTATGTCTATGATGAGGAAACAACAATGTAACAAAAATTAGGAAATAATGTAGTATGGAACCCTTTAAAATTAATCTTGTTAAAATGCTGATATTTCTTTGTATATAGTGAATTCTTGGGTCTAGTCACCAGTGTAAATGATCAGGTTCAGCATTCATCAATTTACCTTTCAAATATTTATTATTCACATAGCATGTAGTAATCTAAAGGGAAATATGGCTCTTGTCTTCCATTTAGGACTTTGACACTATATTGGAGTCCAAAAACCTTTAGGAGCAAACATCTCTTCTTCTTATTTGTCTTACAGTCTGTATTTTCGCCTGTTTAAAAGTCTAATTTATACGCACTGTGAGCTTGACTGCACTGCACTGACTTAAAAACACCTTGTACCTTTCATCACCTACAATACGATCCATTTTATGAGAATCCATTCAGTCCTTATCTAGAAGTCACCATTTTGTATTTTGGGTCCAGGCCTAGTTGTCTGGGAGATGTGCAGCTATAATTCTCTGCCTTGAGTGTGTCTCATAAATCTGCTCTGTGCTCAGGACTGCTGGGTGGCCTGCTTGTCAGACAAATTGCTGTGTCCTGTGCCTTAGCCCAGCATCTTTGAGTAACTGAGTGAATAGGGCTGCACGATTAATCACAATCAAATGCAATGTGAATGGACGCAATTAGCCAGTTCCTTCACAAATAACAAAATATCCTGTCTTATTCTGATAACCCTGGGCAAACATGTTCTAAAATGTTATTCATTATTGTATTAGTTTGTCAGTTTATATTTCAGTGTGTTTATCAATACTTCTGGATGTGTTTAAAGGGCCCATATAGCACTATTTTCAGATCTATGTTAGAATGTTGTTTCCTCATTGAAAACATACCTCAGTTGTGTTTTGTTTAATTCACACAAAACCACAAACCCTCCATATTTAGAGTTCTTTTGTCAAACTGAAAACACTTCCACCTTATGACTGTGTGTTAATATAAACACATTATTTCAGCTCTGGAATCCCCAATTTCCCCTGAACTAAAACTAAAAGGTTGCTGTTAACTTGAAAACTACAGCTTCATGACATCACCAGGTGGATCGGAGCATTTTGAGCTTTGGAGATATAGACTAATAATGCAAGATTACTCAGATGTGTGAATGAAACAAAACACAACATCAGGTATGTTTTTGAGGGTCTTAAAGCGCACATGTTTTGCAGACCTTTAAACTGTAAAGTTTGAACAGAATCCTATCACTAAAACATAGACTGCAAATTGAATCACAGTTGTAATGCTTGTCAGAAAAATCACAGTTAGATCTTTTCCCCAAATTGCTAGTAGTGATTGCAGCTTTGTGCATTCCTTTCTCTGCAGCTATCTTCACAACAAACACTGGAGGAGTGGGATGTTCAGATCAATATAGTATCTCATAATAATGACCTATTCCCTATTAGCAGTGCTCTTTTCCTGGAGCACATCCCAGCATACTCTGCACCAAGGACAAGATCTATCTAATCTCATATTGTGCCTGAATACAAATAAGATATAAAATATACATCCTAGCTGTCTATGAGTTTCAGGGTGATGAAAATATAGCACCGTTGCCATAGCAATCAATTAAATTAAAAACCAGATATTATCTTTGGGATGGGCAAAGGTAAACAGTTAACATTTATCTGAAACCTGTAAATAGACATTATATAAGGAATAGCCATTTTAAACCTTGAAAACATAAAATGTATTAACTAAAAAGAAAAACAAAAAACAAACACAAAACCTAGGAAAAAAAATAGGTGAGATCTTTAATATAATTATAATGATGTTAACTACTACTACTACTTTGTGAAATTAGTAGTTTGCTTGTCCACTCTAGTACAGTCCAGTCTATGTTTCTGTCGTAGGGAGTATTATACCTCTGATAATGCAGGCTTAGATAACTGGGACTGAGCTGGCTGTAAGTGCCCTAGATACAGCACAGATATGGAATTTCTCTAACAATGTGCACTGTAGATTTTTTTTTATGTCTGTCAAAAAGACAATTATAACTGGAGCACATGAATATTAATGCTGCTTTCCTGTTTGCTTTGAAATGCTTTTTCCACATCTTAAGAAGCTTAGGCTAAAATGCTTACTGGAAAAATTACATCATGTTTTTGAGCATGGAAAGTTTTGTTGTGTAACAGATACTGGATTACAGTACTCAGGCTGCAGCTGCACTTCGGAGACAGACCACAGGGTGTAGCACAATATTCCCCCTGCTCCACCTGCTCCCAGCCTTTTACACAGCAACCTAGTGTTTTGATACCTCACCACAAACTATATGGTATATTGTATTGACCTTTAGTGCAAACCCTGGCACGCTCTTGGCACCATTAAAACTTTTCCTGCACTTGGTACAAAGTCACTTATTTATGTAGCAGAACTAAACACAAGGCAGTGCCACAGCCCACAAACTCTAAGTGGCAGTGAATCTCAATGAAATACAAGCCTGCCTTCTATTTTATGATACAGTGCTTCTTATCACACAGAGGGGAGCTCATTTTCAAGGTAATGTGTTGTGCAGTTATGTGCCGCTTTATGAGAGCAATTAGGAAAATCCAATCAGCACACTCAAGCAAAGTCAGGCAGTTTTTCATTTATCTAAATATTTCCTTTTCCTATGAGCCATTATGCTGGGAATGAGCAATAAGAATTTTCATAGCATTTCAAGTGGCAGCTTAACCCATGCCTGTTTATTTACTTATCATGATAATCTTTCTAAACAAACACAATTAAGTAATGGCAGAGGGTTCACTTCCTGTTTGTCTTCATTGATGTTATTGTATTGGTTTGCCTCAAGTTATCCAGAATATGTCATTAAATATACTGCGTCAGGCATTTATTACACAATGTGTAACTTTTTTGGCTGGGAGTCTGTCACCTGCTTATTTCTATTTATATGTCAATGCTCTGCCTGGAACGTTCAACAGTATGGCATTAAACAGTTTTATCTTACATTTGTTAAATTAGAGGTGGTTTTAACTCAAAAATACATTCTGACTTGGTCTTGTTTGGTCTCCATAAAGATAGAAATTTTTAATACCCTACTGTGAAACATTCCAGACAGTAACATCTCCATGAAGAAAAAACATTTGATGGACACTCCACCAGAAAAGTTAAGCAATGTACCTTTAATTGCATGTGTTTTATTGCTAAAAGAGGATAGATAAATAAAAGCAATAACATTTCCATGGAGACAGGAGGGTAGTTGACACTCCACCAGAAAAGTTACATAGTGTACTTTTAAGCTACATTTAAATTAGCTTTAGAACTAATTAATTAAGAACTAACAAAACTAACTATAATACATATTATGTAAAATTCCAGCAAAGCTATATGTATTTGTACTTGTGATTACTGAATTATCACTTGGTACTCAGCAAAACTAATCTTAAGTTTATATTACTAAAACTACACATAATGTTTGTATTATATAAGAGCAACAATAACGATATGAGACAGTTTTACAACATTGTAAATTGTCAACATTTATTTCCACTTCTCACACATTAAACGTGCATATCCATAAAACTGAAAAGCTCATATAAATACCTCAACTCTAGTACTATAACAATAAATATGGCTCTACATCTCATTGAAATAAATACAAAAGAATCATAGAATCCATTTAACACTGTACAGCTTCTCTTTTGGCACATGATATGTTCCACCCATGGACATTTTAATTGTGCTATTGAACGGGTCTCAAGCCTTGTGTCCTCTTTATGAATGTGATGGAGTCATTTTTGATAAGTATCTTCTGTCCATTATAGACTAGAAATACATAATCTGATAAAACCACACCACTGATGGTCTGCACACACACATACACACACACAGGCACGCACACACGCACACACCCACACATATACACATATACACCACTCTCACACTTTGCACATTAATCACTGAATAATGTGCAAGAAGAAACTATACATCACTGTACAACTGATAAGAACGTGTTATAATGTCTGTAAAAAGGTGGGAAACACTTTATAATATCTAACACAATTAATAGCCTTAATAAAGCATGAGGACAGGCTGAAATTATAATGAACAAATAGGTTATTAAGAATGAGTCAGTATCTGCTTAATTAATACCCTAATATCTAACTCCTAAATTAAAGATGTACTGTGTAGCTTTTGGAAGGGAGGATCTACCACGTTTTGTCTCCATTATGATGCCATTGATTTGTTTGGAATGTTCCACAGTATGTCATTAAACTTATCTGTCTTGCATTTATTTAGTTACTGGTCTTTTATGGGAAAGAAAACATCTTTTAATTTTGTTTTACTGTCAGTGTTGCCTCTCCGCTGATCTGATTTGTAACTTGGCTTGAACATGACATACATGCCAAAATATGAAACATACCAGGCAAGGCAATAGCATCTTCATGGAGACAAGCAGGTGGTGGACCCTTCACATAAAACGTTACATAATGCACCTTTAAGTAATTCCTAAGCCTGTATAATTCATGTAAAATTATTTGTTCATTATGATTTTAGCCTTTCTTTATGTTTTATTAAAGCAAATGAAACGTGTAGGTCATATGAAGTGTTACCAAAGGTGTCCTAAACCAATGTCAGGCTAGTTAGCTGATAAAGGCTTAATCAGGGAGGGCACCAGGCAGTGAGGGACTATGATACAGCTCTGATTAACATGTACAAGAATACGCCAACACGTCAGATCAAAATATTACATTTAGCACTTTAAAATAGATCACCGCAAAACTCTTCATTTGAAACGTGCAAAAAATAAACACAGTTACTCTTTCACAAAACTCCCACACACAATGTTCATCTTTTACATGATATACAATGAATAATTAACGATAAGATTGAATTATAAATATGCACACACAACTATGCCCGTCTTGTTTTCTTTGTTAGACGTCAACCCATGCACTTTGCTCTTTGTGACTCTTGTCTGCAACTTATGTAAAAATAATTGCAGTTTTTGACAGTGGAAGTAGTACAAAAGGATCTAATGAGTGTTAGAAAGTTGAATGGAAGAGAATCTGTGGCTAAAGCTATCCTTGCAGCATAGTGAGTGATTGTAAAGTCCAAGAATAGAAAGTCACATCGACCGTATAGTGCAGTATTAATAAGAGCTAATGATATAAATATTTAAAAATCTTTGTGAAAATAGACAAAAACTGATACGTTTGTAAAAAGAAGAGACATAGGGGGGTCTCAGAAGCCGGGCACGTGGCAGTAAGCCTCTAGTGATGCCAGTAGGATGTAGATGAACCAGAGAGAGAGGAAGAAAAGAAAGGTGAGGAGCTTGGCAGTCCGTGGTCCGCCCAGCTCTCCCCCGGAAATGCTTGGACGCCTCCGATACAGCAAAACCAGCACACAGACCAGAGCCATGATGGTGAACAGGGTGACGGAGAAGGCCAAGGATCCCGGATTTACTACAAAAGGCTTTCCCTTAGTGTTCCAGTAGACCGCCGCGATGGTCCAGGCCACTCCGATGCCCAGAAAGACGTTGACCGCGTTACTGCCGGTCACGTTCCCAATGGAGGCGTCAGCGTACTGGTCCTGGATAGCGGCCACTTTACTTGCAAATGTATCTGCAGCAAGAGACAAGCAAAGTCAGTGAAGAAGAACCACTTTATATTGTATAGGACATATTCAAGAGTTTTCAGATGATATTTGCTGTTTGCCTGACCAACCAATCCCTTCAAATGCAAAACAACTTTCTCCAGCTAAACTCAGACAAGACTGAAGTTATAGTGTTTGGTCCACAGAAACAAAGAGACAGTGTCAGCAGTCACCTCCAGTCTCTCTCTCTAAAACCTTCAAATCAGGCAAGAAATGTAGGGGTAATAATGGACTCAGACTTGAACTTTAACAGCCACATCAAATCAATAACATCTGTAGCCTTTTACCATCTAAGAAAACATAGCAAAAATCAAAGGTTTACTGTCTAAAGCAGACTTGGAGAAACTTATCCATGCGTTTGTCTCCAATAGGTTAGACTACTGTAACGGTCTGCTCACTGGCCTCTCCAAACGAGCTGTGGGACGCTGCAGTACATCCAGAACACTGCAGCTTGGGTCCTGACTCGAACTAGGAACTCTGACCACATAAGTCCTGTGCTCAGGTCTCTGCACTGGCTTCCTGTGGCTCAGAGAATAGACTTTAAATCAGCTCTGCTTGTGTACAAGTCTCTCCATGGCCTAGCACCAAAGTACATCTGTGACATGTTAGTGCCATATGAACCATCTCGCACTCTGAGGAGCTCAGGGACCGGCCTCCTGCTGGTGCCCAGAGTCAGGACTAAACAAGGGGAGTCAGCATATCAGGTTCATGCAGCTAAAACCTGGAACAGTCTTCCTGAACATGTGAGACAGACTCTTCTGTGACGCTGTTTAAATCCAGGCTCAAAATAGTTCTGTGCGTATGACTGAAAGGTTTTCATTTTTCATTCTGTACTCTTCTCTCTAATTTAATGTCTCTCTCTCTCTCTTTTTAATTTTATGATGATTATTTATGTTTTGATTTGTTGTTATTTTATTGTGATTTTAATGTATTTCTTATTCTGTAAAGCACTTTGACTTACTTTGTGTAAGAATTGTGCTATACAAATAAACTTGCCTTGCCTCTCCAAAATTCTCCTATCATTCAGAACAAAATATACCACCTCTTTTACCTGAGATAAAAAATAGTTTGGTGCTTCGATTGCTGATTCTGTAAAAAATCTGCACTGTTTCTCAGCCTTTTATGCTGTTTTTCTCCTTTTGTATATATAAACCATCCTGTTTGTTTTTGATATAAATGGACCTTGCATCTCTCTGATTGGTTAACCTGCCTGTCAATCACTCTCTCTGAAATCAGGGAGACCGCTCCAGATCCACTTGTAAAGTTTTGTCAAAGAGTGAGGTTCTGGCAGGTCAGGTGAATTTGCTGTAAGTTAATAGTTTACATTAAATAATCCATACTGGGGCAGACAGTAATTGTTTTTCATGAAGTAAACTCAAATACTGTGAAAAATAAAATGGGTCTTTCACATCGTTGCATTAAATGTCTTTCGATTGCCCTCTAATTTCAATTTGCAGCCTAACTAATGTGTCCAATTAAAGGAGCCACTATGGGCCCAATTTGGACTTGTCAAAATGCCACACTGCACTCAGCACTCATTTGCTTCAGTACCACAGTAATAAAAAGTAATGCTTTCAAAAGTCAAGGACATATTAAGTATGGAGCAGACAGAGCTGTACAACATGAAGAATAAATATGAAATGCAGTAATTAGGTTTAATGTTGGTAATATCTGTACTATTATAAATTTAAATAAAACATGTATGTATTTACTAGCCCAAGCTTTGTAATGACAAAATAAATAATAAAAAGCACCAAATTATTGACAGTCACCGTACATTTTCTGGTCTGATCATTATATTTTGATACATTCAATTGTGTTCAGTGGCTTTCAGTTACGTGATATTTCACTGTTATGGATGCCATTTTAAGGACTCAAAAGACTGCTAACAACAAAAGCAACTGCTATGGCAATGGTGTCAATTTTCATCACTCCAACTCATGGATAGTCAAACAGAACATCATATTTTGTTTACGTTATGCTGAGGAATGTAGAGAAGGTTTCAGTGTGGTCACCTGGACTCTGTTTTTGAGATCAAGACATGTCAGCTCCTACTCAGAGACCATTTTCAACTGATCAAACTGGCTAGAAGCATTGGGAATTGATCTTATCCAGAGTACAGAAAGTAAGTCCAGCCCCAGCAGGAGGAAAGCTGAGGAATATGTTTGATAACTAAAGGAGTATTGTTTTAACATCTCATTTTGTCCACCATCAGCAGTGTGTCATTTACCTGGGACAGAGGTACCAAGAGCCACGAAAACCACGGCCGTGACAGAGTCTTTGAGGCCCACGGTGCAGCCAAAGTGAGAGGCCAGGTCCCCGGTGACCGCAGTAAGGACCCCGATGAGCGAGATGGACACGAAGAAGCAAGCCCACCCATTCCAGTACTCAGTGGGCGGCACGAAGGCAAACAACACCTTCCAGAAAACTGTCAGGAAGTGCATAATGTAATCAAAGCAGGAGGGCAAGCGCTCCTCTCCACTCTCCTCCTCATCATCATCACCTGTGGGAATAAAATAACATCGTATAAAAACATAATATGTAGTTAGAAGAAAACAGGGCTGTGCAATATTTTGCACTCGAGATAGCAATTTGACCAAAGGCTGCAATTATTTAGATAACAGTACAATAAACAAAATAGACCTTTGTAGAAAAAAAAAATCTTGTATTTGATAGACTTTTAAAAGCATGTTCTAAAAATCTATGGGAGTTGTTTACAATGTGCACTGTGAACAGAATCTTGTTTTTTAAACACATATCGCAAATATAACCACACAAGGTCAATAAATAAATAAATAATTAAATAAAATAATGTTGTGCTTGTATGTAATAAAACAATGAAGATTTTAAAACATAAAAAATATTACACTTTCACTTATGGTTCAAAATCAGGTAAGAATTTGTAACTTGAAGTTAATCAGCTTCATACTAGGATTCACTCTTCGGCTAACTACACACAGCAGTAATTAGACTAATCTGTTACCTTACAAACAATTGCGTAACCCGATCAGTTAGCAACAGTATCTGACTATACAGTAAATTCAAAAGCTCAGATCTGTACTTTCAATTAGGTTAAACATGACTCAGATCGGTGTGACTCATGTTTAACAAAGTGTGAACTGTGAGATTCATCATATAACACGGGAAGTGGACTTTCTATTTTTATAGACCGTAGGCCTGAACTGACTATGTTGGCCTAAAAGGACCTCAGTTATATGAATTTGAAGAAAAGTTAAAAAGAGCTCAGTATTCAGTGACTTTGAGTGTTTAGTAAAGCACTATCGAAGTTAAAATGGTATTATTATTAAACTAAAAAGATGAACACTTTGTTATGAAAGTCAAGTACATTTTGCAACATTTTCAGGACTCCCCATTCCAAAGTTATGATATTCTGTTTTAAAATGGTTAATCACTAGGACAAGTCCTATTTTTTTTCATAATTCACCATAAAACCCATGGATAAGTTACGTGAATAGGAATGTTGTGGTGTCATGTGAACTCAACCTAAATGTCATTAGATCTCAGTTATGTGAAATGGAAGAAAAATTCTGTGTCTTTAAGAGTTTAGAACAATATAAGTAAAAACCTATTATTATTATCACTAAAAAGTTGATTACTTGCTTCTGAATGTCTAGAAAATTTTCCTTCAAAAACAGCATCTTCAGTTCTATGCAACATTTTCAGGACTTTTTCTTCATTCAAAAGTTATAATATTGAGTTTATATTGTGGACGCCTATTCAGCTTCCGGTTATATGCAACATTTTCAGGATTTTTCTCCATTCAAAAGATATAAAAGGTAAGTAATAAATAAAATGTATGATTATTGTCACTAAAAAGTTTACTACTTTCTTCTGAAAGTCTAGAAAATGCTCCTTCAAAAACAGCAGCTTCAGTTCTATGCAACATTTTCATTACTTTTTCTTCATTCAAAAGTTATAATATTGAGTTTTTACATTGTTAATCACTATGGCAACAGTTCTTTTTTGTTTTCATCATTCTGAAAGCCATGGATAGGTTGCATGCATATGGGAGTTCAAAATTCAATATCTTTGAGTGTTCAGAAAAGCACTATATAAGTACACATTATACACATTAGCTTTACATGTTATAGTTCTAATGACGCACATCAATATTTTTGCTTTTAGATACAGATCACATTTATAGCAGCTAAACCAATTAGTTTACAAAGAAAACTAAAAGTGACGGCTGGCGTTGCCCCTCTAACCCCGTGTGCTTCTCTACAGGTGCGATGCCCGAGTCTAAAATGAAGAGACATTTTGGGCCTCACCTGCGCTGACAGTCACGGCACTAACAAACTGTTCCCTCCAGCTGCTGCTCCCCACCACCAGAGCCAGGTTAGTCTTCTTTATGAGCTTGTCCACTGTGCTCTGTCAAACACCACAAATACAACAGCCACTATTAGAAATCATTTATAGGGGCTCATGCTATAAAGATGCACTATATAACTTTTCTCATTGTCTCTATGGAGAGGTTATTGGTTTGCCTGGAGAGTTCCACTGTATGGCATTACAGTGACAAGCAGATGGCAAGTTATAGGTCAGATCTGTGGAGAGGAGACCTGGCTCACTGTAAGAACAGAGTATAATGTATAATGGCATACTGTGGAACAGTGCGGGGAAAGTAATAATATCACCATGGAGACAAGCAGGTGGCAGACGATTCTCTAGAAAAAGTTACACATTTTTCTTATTTTTTATTCATTTCTGTGTCCTGACATATGAAATAACCATGCTTAAATAATTAAATAATAATAAAAAAAATATATATATAATTGCTATGTTGTCCATGTTTACTACTTTATTTGAGTTTTCAAGACCATCATCCACAGGAGCCAATGGCGGGTACGACTTTAACTTATAGCTGCACTGAAGAAACCATCATTGTGAAATATCAGACTAACTAAACCTCCCTCACATTTAATCCCATAACAAATTTATAACACAGGAAAGATTAGAGACATTTACAAAAGTGAAATTTCTGCTGCTTAAAGCTCCTCCGACAGTCATACATTATCCACAACACCAAATAATTCAAATAGCCTAGTTTGATGAAATATTAAAATGATCTTCCATCCCCAATATTTTGACAGTTCAGACGTTACTTTGAGCGAGTTGTTTATAATTCATGGCAGGAGCTGGAAGTCGCTGATAGTACAGCTCTGAACTCTCCGTAGATGTTCCCAGGTGGAGTTTGTTTGATGCAGATACCTTGAATTCATAAGACTCTTCGATCACCACCTCCAGCTTGGTGTGCTCTCCCAGAATGGGGCAGCCCATTTTAGATACATCCTCAGGGCCCACTGCAGTCTTGTTGTCATTTGTGTCACCTGTGGCAGCAAAACACAGTAAAAATAAACAAAATGGTACACTCAAATATTTGTATCATATTTAGTCATTAACAAAATGTGTTTGTTAAGAGTAATTCAGTAACTACTTAATAAAGGGGTTGTGGTTAAAAATGGTTCATGCTTTATTAAAACTAATTATGTACAATGCTGAAGAGTTACTTAATAACTAGTGAGTATCCAAACTTTGGGCCACTTATTCTAACTGGCCGTATATGTATAAATGTATATATTGTATAATGCATTGCTCAGGGATTGCTAGGGATTGTGACATTACTAATAGCAAAATAATTCTGTTAACTGGACAGAAGTTTTTTGAGTGAAGAGGTTTTACAGTTCATCCAAGCAGCTTCTTCCTTTCTGGTCAAATTGCTGATGGATACTAACTTCTATCTGCTCTAAAGGAAGGAGCCGACTACACTGAAACTAACACACCTACATGTTTACAGTTTCCTATCCTAATATTAAACCAACAGAAAGATTTTAAATACAAATCTCAGTCAGTGTTCATTACTGTTTTAGTGATAAATGTCTTTACTATCAGAAACCCTTATCATCTTATTGGGTTTACACATGACTCTTGTTTACTTATAAATGTTGTTTTTGGTCATGAGTCTCAGTGGACGTTTTACACTGTGGATTTTACCTACAGAATTGTTAACTATGGTATCGCTTCTGAGTCCAAGAAAGGCAAAAATGTGGCAAACAAACAAGCAAACAAACAAACAATCAAAGCTGCTGGAGCTGTGAAGTTGCCTGTTGGACCCAAAAGTAACATCATCACTTAACAACTCAATAATTCACTTTTGGATAATACCAAGCTCTATTGGCAGTGTTGTTGGTGATTTATTCATAGCTGAAATCTCTGCTCACCATGCCTTTGTCCAACTTCCAGCAAAATAGGCTCCTCCAGCACAATGGTAAACGTTTTATTTTTCTCATACTCTTCATCGTCAATGATCTTCACATTCAGCAACTTCCTGGAGACAAGAAAATTAACAAAAGAAGGGAAAAGGATTAATTCATTAATTCTGTTTTTAACTTTTTTTTTTTTTCATATCAATTACCATCACATTTAGAAACAAAAGAGACTTCAGACCAGGCCTACACAATAAACTGTTTAAAGGGACTCTATTGTGCTATTTTCTTATCTATGTTATAATGTTGTTTTCTCATGAAAAACACACCTGGAGTTGAGTTTTGTTTAATTCACACATGTTTATCACAGAAACCCTGCATATTTACTTCTTCTCTCAAATGGAAAACACCGTTCGACCTTGTGATATCATTTGGTAATACTGGAAGAGCTCCATTGTGTTTTTAAGCTCCATGCACCTTCACTAATCATTTGGATAATTCCAGCTTTGAAATTGCCCATCTCTACTAAATAAAACCTAAAAAAGTATTGTTTAACTTGAAAACTACCGCTTCATGACATCACAAGGTGAAGCAGAGCATTTTGAGCTATGGAGATGTAGACAGACTAATAATAAAGGGTTACTCAAACATGTGTGAATTAAACAATACTCCAGGTATGTTTTCGATGAGGTAACAGCATTGTAACTTGACATAAAGCTCACAAGAGTCAAGTTTGCGTAACATACGACCTTTAATAAATGCATACATCTACACACATGAAACTGTGTTCAAACAAACCTATTATCTGTTTAAGTAAATTTCCTCCTATCCCACAAGGGGGCGGCCTCCTGCTGCACCATTATCTTCCATTAGAGAGAAAAATCCACACAGATAGTGAAGATGCCCACTCCCCACCCACACAACTCAGGTTATAACTGATGGCAAATGGAAATAATACCTTGCTTAGGGAGAAATAGAAACTGCAGACACTGGGGGATTAAACATGGGGTGTTTTATTTCTACTGATAAATCTGAACATCTATTTTCTACTAAGATATTTGTCTATTTGTTCAATTCTTCTGCATGTAGTCGTCACACCAAATGCTCTTCTCCATCTCTCTCCATCTCCCTAATGATATGTGGGTGGCTGCCTATTTCTGTCTACGCATACACTGTACACTCAGGGTTCAACAGCAAGCAGGCAGCTCCAGCTTCGAGGACAAAAAATGGTGTATTTTAAACATGAATGATACATCATCTTTTGTCTAATGTCATGCAGAGACATAGAAGCAGAAGCAGCTGCATAGCCTCAAGAACATAAAGTTAAAGAGCCCATATTACGCTGTTTTCTGATCTATGTTATAATGATGTTTCCACATCGTGAACATACCTGGAGTTGTGTTTTGTTTCATTCACACATGTTAAATGCACTAACCCTGCATATTTAGAATGAGCTCTTGTCTCAAACTGAAAACACTCTGTTCTACTTTGTGATGTCATGTGGTAACACAAGAAGTGCTCTACTGGGTTTTCAAACTCCATACACCTTCACTAAACTCATTTGGGCAGTTTCAGCCCTGGAATTGCCAATCTCTACTGAACTAAAGGTAAAAGGTAGCTTATGGAGTAACAAAGCTTTCAGAAATATTTGTGTGCATGGAAAAGAAATCCGTGCGTATTTGGGAAATCTGTGCAAATTTGGCTGTAGTTGAGCATAAAATAAATATTTGTAAACTCTCAAATGAGGGCAGTTGTACATAAAATGTGTTATGTGTATTTTATCTATCAGAATACGAATGGAAAAGTTACAATGTCAAGAATTACAATCACGAAATGAAAATGTACGATTACACTTTCTTCAGTATGAGTACGAATTCACAGTTGTGACTCGACTGTCAAAGATACATCCTCACTTCACTTCAAAGGCATTATTTAATTTTCATTTTGTGATTGTAATTCTTGATGTCATAACGTTTCAATTTGTATTTCTGATGGATAAAATACACACAATACATTTTATGTACGACTGGACTCATTCGAGAGTTTACGAATATTTATTTTACGCTCAACTACAGCCAAATATGCACAGATTTCCCAAATACACACAGATTTCTTTTCCATGCACACAAATATTTCTGAAAGCTTTCTTACTCCATAGTAGCTGCTAATTTCACAACATTACATCACAAGGTGGAACAGAGGATTTTGATCTTTGAAGATGTAGAGAGACTAAGAATAAAGTGTTACTCAAACATGTGTGAATGAAACAAAACACAACTCCAGGTATGTTTTTGAGAAGGTAACAATATTATAACAAGGCTTAAAGCTCACAAGGGTAAATCTTGCATAATATAGGACCTTTTACTGCTTACTTTTATAAACACGGCTATTTCAAGAACAAGATATCATTACCTTGAAGTATAGCAGAAGGGCCCTATAGCATTTCCCAGTAATTCATTTCAGTGTAATCATATTCAGGAGAGGTGCCTCGCTGCCAGGGATTAGTCAAAGATTTGTGACTAATAAAAATACCTATTAAATGTAAAGGGCTGTCAGCAAAAGAGGCATGGAAATAGCTTGACACTATTAAAATAATTAGGTGCCCATTTAAAACATATGCCAGGCACGCTAATGCAGTTTAAAATGGGTTCATGTGGGTCATATAAACAAGTGTGATGATTCAAACCAGAACAAATACCCTGACTGACCCGTGGCATCAAAACAGACTGAGGCAAAGCATTTGAGACTGTCTCTTTCTGCTTATGAATCAGCAGTAAGAAAGCTAATGCGCATAAGAATAGAAATATATAACATTCAAGACATGTAATTTGGTTCAGTGATATTTACTCCTATAGCCACAACAAACGCATAGGTTTAGGCCTCTATGTTTGTGCTGTAAGGGAAATCGCAATATGAGCTGTTTTTAATTATTGTTTTTAATTATCAAATCACAAAGGCTGCAATTATTTTCATAATAGAAGACCCTCTGCAAAGAACAAAATGCTGTGTCTTTATAAAGAAACATTATAGAAAAAGAAAAAGTTATACCTGTAGTTCAGACTTCTACAAATTGAAATTCATGGGCTTATTGCATTAGTTTATTTCTGTCTTTTCTCAAATATTAAAGAGCCAATATTTAGCTTTTTCTGATCTATGTTATAATGTTGTTTTTTGTTTTGTTTCATTCACCATGTTTAACTCAGAAATCCTGCATATTTAGTCTGAGTTCTTCTCTCAAATATTGTGATGTCCTGTGGGAATACGGGAAGTGCTCCACTGTGTTTTGAAACTCCACACTCCTTCACAGGAGTCATTTGAGTAATTTGAATTTGTCTCTGCTGAACAAAAAGTACTAACGCTTCATGACATCACAAGATGGAACAGAGCATTTTGATTTTTGGAGATACAGATAGATTAATAATGAAGGGTTCAAACATGTGTGAATAGAAAAAACAAAACGCAAAAATCAAACACCACTCCAGGTATGTTCTAACATGACTAAAAGCTCACATTTGCATAATAGAGGACCTCTAATGCACAATGTACACTCCAACTCCTACTCCAGCAAAATCATTTTTTTCTGTCTACATTAGAAGCAAGTATAATCCTAAAACAAGTGAGTAATGCTATATTTATTCAGACCTAACCAGGCCTGTCAGTACTGTCAAGTAAACATAATGAAAACAGTGTTAAAAACCAATAGACTGTGAAAAACATAGATCTCCCTGGTTGTATGCAATATTTAAATGTTAGATGACTCTGAATACAGCCCGGACAAGCTGTGGACTGACTGCAGGACCCACTGGCATCATGTTTTCTCTGGGTGTCGTCCATCTTTATATTCCTGTGGGCTTTTCTCACTTGGATTGGTTTGTGAGTGGCTCTGCAGAGGAACAAACACTGTTATTGTATCTGCCACAGTATAATGTGGGGCCCTTCTCAAACTGTTACAATCAATAATACACCACTGTCTCCCCGCTCTATCGACACCATCCATTCTCTGAGTAATTGACCTTTTATTCCATTCTTCTCAACGGTGTGCCAAGTGCAGAGCTGCAACTATTAATCGGAATAATCATGACTAATTGACTACTCTAAGAATGACCATTTTAATAATCAGTCATTGTTATCTTTAAAGCTGAGAGATCCTCATTTTCAAGTTTTGCAATTTTTCTAAATCTCATTTATTAAAAACACAAATTATTAATTCGATTAATCAAATCTGACTAGGATGATCATCTTTTGTTCGAATTGTGCTACTGTGTACAAATTGTGCTACACAAATAAACTTGCCTTGCCTTGATTTCATTTGATTAATTACCCAGCCCAAGTTATTGGTATAGTATGTACACTCTAAAAATACATTTATCACAAAACACAAACTAAAATAAAAACAAAAATACTGTTGACTTGTTTTACACTATGGGGTATTCATTGTTAACATATAAAATATTTAGATCACCACGTTACCTTTTATTGTTTTGAAAATGCAATAATGCAATTATTACATTACAGTGTGTATATACCGTACAGTATATTTTTATCTAGTTGATCAGAAAATCATTGCCGCTATACTCAGTTGCAAGCTAAGTGCTTGTATATGAAGATAGCTATGTTGAATCTGAGTCACTTTTTAATAACCCTGGTACTTTTTTATTTGTAGTTTTCCTCTTTCACTGTTGGTTGTGTGTGGTTGTGCCTCCCACTGTAAAGTCTGGAGTTTCCAAACAGTCTTCAGGTAGGAGTTTGACAGATTTTTATATTTTTATCTGTGCCCCTGCATCTTCTTTGTACCCTCTCATCCTCAGATCTGCTCCAACTGTGACCACCTCAAAATGTAGAAAAAGAAGGACCTGTCATTGAATACGGTGGGACATGGTGGGATGACACTGCAATAGCATCATATGATTTTCAGTTTTCATTAACAGATATTTATTTATGCATTTATGTATTTATGCATGTATTTATTTGTTTATTTATAAATGAATTAGATATTTATTTATGGATTAATAGCACATACAGATTGGAATATCAATATCAGCTGCTGCAACATATTACAGCCCCGAAAAGCCATTACACCAAAAAACTTTGTGACACAAGACAATTTGAAAACTTGATAGAC